GATCCTTCCCGTGACCCGGGTGACTACGAGCTGGGAGCCTACCGATGCTGTAGACCTTCCTGCCAGAGTTGTGCTCAACCTACCCTCTTCTATAGATTTTGTTTGCTGTTGTCTGTAACCCTAAACCCTAAACCCTAAACCCCAATAACCCTAATAAGCCTGAACCAACTGAAATTGCGATTTGTACTAGGGTTCCAGGGAACTTAGAGCCTTGAGTGAAATTTGCTGATGCTAAAACCCTGCATGCCCCTATGATAACCTACTCCCATTTTTCCCAGGGTATAATCTGGGTACTACTTCAGGTCATGCATGTTTTTGAGTAACTGCGGAAGGGTTCGTCAAAGGGCACCAAATCAACCTTACCCTGAACATCCAAAATCCTTTGCGCGCAATGGGTAGGGCAATGTTCTACTCAAAGCCAGCTTGCCCAAAGGTCTGTCCATGTAGCCATATAGTACATACTTTCACGCCGAAGTAGCTACATGAGAATCAGTTCGAGCCCTAAGTATATGCTACATAGCCACACGGAACTCTTGGCCTTAGATCGCCATGAACAGCAATTGCTACACCCACTGGCTAGGGACCTTACCTACAGAATGAACGCGGATTTGAGGGCATGTAGGGTTTACAAACTCATCATCTATCGGGATAATATGTAGGGGGACTACCAAGAGTAACCCATGTGCCCCTGACAAAAGGTCCTGAGACTAACTCCTTACTCCCCAGGACCAAGCCCTAAATCCTCCAAATTCTCGGCTTGGGCCTGTAGATTTAGATCCTGAAATCCTTAGCCCCAAATCCTACGCTTTCCTCAAAGTTCTCGGCCTAGGTCTGCAGGCGTAAACCCTTAAATCTGTAGTCCCAAATCCTAAATATATACACCCTAAACACCCAAAAATCTAGGAACGCTGGCATCCTCGGTGTGCCTAACGCCAGCGGCCCAATGGCCGATGCTGAGGGCAGGAAGAGGCGGACGGACTCCAACCTATACCCATGGTTTCGGTGTAGGGTTAAGGGTTTAGTTGTTTAGGGCTTCGGCTTACCCAGGTTCAGAGTTAGGGGAAGTTATAGGGGAAGTTATAGGGGATCATATTGGGAGTATATGGGGATATCTGGGTTTCTGGCTCTGGTTCTTGAAATGTATGTTCGGTTCAGTATTCTTACTAGCCAGCTGTTCAAACAATAGTGTCTGTGTGTGTGCTTTGGCATGAAGTGGTGACAACAGGCTATGTAGACAAAGAAAGGAATTGCGTACCATGCGCTGATTGCTTGTGTTTTCTGTTGGTTACTACATGCACTCTTACGATCGCTCTCATGCGGCTGGCCTGTGACAGTCTGGAGTCTTTATATCTCTGCCGCTGTAATCTTCTCAACTTGTAGGCACAAACGCTTGAGAGCTTCGAGTGGGATGTGGAAAGATTTGGTGGTGTGGAGCATTGCCCATTGATCAGCATTTGGCTGAAGATTGTGACTTGCAGTATGTTCTAAACGAGATGCCATTTTCATGGGCGTTGTCCAGCCGATTTCGTTTTTTGTTGTTGATAAATGGGGTTGATGGGGCTTGGCTTCTGAATTTGGGCACGTGAAATAAAACATTCCCTTCGATATTGAAATAGGTCCCTCAATATAGAAAGATCTCTTGTGCGGCGTCTTTAATTTCCGGGCCCTAGGCATTGGGGATCATGGATTGACTGCTTGAGAGTTCAGTGTCAACTGCAAAAGATCCTGGAGAGGTTCAAAGGATTGAAGCTTCGGGTGTCGGGGTCGCAGGTGTGTGGAATTCGTGCTGCCTCAATGGGCAGAGGACTATCTGGTACGGCAATTTGCTGCCACGCATCAAAGATAAAGCCCTGATGCTTGGTCTCTGTGGTGTATTTGCTGCAGCAGCAGCAGCAGCAGCAGCAGAAGGAGGAGCAAGAGTAGGAGTAGGAGGGGTCATCACAAGTAGTAATAGTGCTAGTATTAGTAGTCGTCGCCATATTGGTACTGGTACATGTACTTGTAGTACTAGTGGTACTAGTTGTAGTATTGTAACGAGCACTGGCAGGTAGCACTTCAAGGAGGAGAAGTAGGTGGTTCAAGGAGTGGCAGAAGGCTGATAAAGAAGGATCAGCAGGAGGGCATTTGAACAGCCATTTCCCTCATCTATGTTCGACTAGCTGGTAAGGTACGACCTACAAATCGGACAATCTCCCGACATTATGCTGGCAGGAAGCTGAACTCGGAGCTGGCGAACGGACGCCTGGCCATGATGGCAATCACCGGGATGCTCTTCCAAAACGGACCCCGTGGACTTGAGGGAGTTTGAGGGAGATTCCTGTGTCGAGATTAGGTCACTGGCTTTAAGGCTTGGCGGACCTTGCGCAGTTTCGTATCTTTAGGGATTATGAGGTGCGCAAGGTCAGCGCGGCGGACCTGGGATTTGCTAGAGTCACTGAGTGATGCTTTGCAGTCTGAGTTTGCCAATGAGCCAAAGGAAGAGTCAGTTCTAAAGCAGAACAAATGAGTGGAGGTGTTCCCTTGTAGCCAGCCACAGCCCCCTTCTACAACCCCTAGAGAACCCTTGGCCACTGACCCCTACAGTATACCCTCTAACCCTAAACTCTCACAAGCGGCAATCCCTACAGAACTTAAGATTCTTGTGATGATGGCACACCGGGCACCCACTCAGAAAATGGTCGCATGGCAGAGACATGTGGTAGGTTGCCAAAAATTATGCTTTCGTTTGGGTCCCAAGTATAATGCGATCCCTAATCTTTAAGGTACCAAAAACGGGCCATAATTTTGACACCCCCCCATGTAGGGACCCCAAGACTGTTACCATTAATGCCTGTGATCACCATTTACGGCTCGCGGCCTACCCCAAACTGGATTGCTGTTGAGGAACTCAGCTACTATATACCCAAGATCGTAACTTGATCTTAAGTCTTATTCTAAGTCCCTGAACAGTAGACCAGCACATGATACCTGTGTCTGTCAAACATCTCCCTAGGAATTATCTTTTAGTTTTTATCATAGTATAACCGTAGGGAATTATTAAGATAGGTCTAAGGAGACTACAGTAGGGATGTCATTAATACATTAACTGCACACGCCCCGCGGAACAGCTGATTTTTTGCGGGAGGACTGCCAGAGCATAGGCAGAGATATCTGGACTCTGCTGAGGTACTTTCTGTATCTATACGTTCCATCAATGTCGCCCCTGATAAATGAACCTCCTCTCCTTAATAGGGATTACAGTAGGGATCCTAATATTAAGGCCCTTGAAAGGAAGGGGGGTTATCAATCACGCGTCTATATTAAACCTTAAGCACAGCAACCCTAACCCCCACGCATAAACCAAACAGGGAAGTATCGGGCCTAGGCCCAACTTCATGCCTCTGCCCTGAGCCCTAAACCTTACATCTCATGCCATGGAGCTCATGTAGAAGCATGATGCCTGTGTTTAGGGTTTGGGGTTCAGGGTCTGGGGTTTAGGGTTTAGGGTTTAGGGCTTCCCCTTGATGATCCTTACAGAACTTTGCCATGATACCCCTGAACCTTGTTCTCCTTGTCCGGGCCCTTGTAGTAGAATCCATAGGAGCCATAGTCTAAACTCCTTAAAGGGGCTTATATAGGGGATCATATAGGGGACTACTGTAAGGATGATTAAGGGGATACTAGGAGTTTAGATTATAGCTCATAGAATCCATAGGGGGTTTCCCAAAATTAGGGTTACCTTTTTTGGGGTCCCCATAATAAGGGCTATAGTATATTGGGGTCTATATTGAGGTCCCC